GTCTTGCTAAAAACACAAACCAGATCACTCTCTTACAAACTATAACTTCTATCTTCTCTTGTTTTGCTTAAAATTCCCAATTTGTTTTCATCAATGAAAATATATTTGTTTGCCTAAATTCTCAAGGAGAGAGAAAATTATTCTCCTCTTGATCATCTCTGTCTTGCTAAAACACAAACCAGATTCTATCTTCAAACCATAACTTCTATCTTCACAACAGTTCTTTTGCTTAAATTTCCCAATTTGTTTTCATCAATGAAAATATATTTGTTTGCCTAAATTCTCAAAGGAGAGATAAAATTATTCTCCATCTGTGGGCTGATCTCTGTCTTGCTAAAACACAAACCAGATCACTCTCTTGGCAACCATAACTTCTATCTTCACAACAGCTTGTTCTTTGCTTAAATTTCCCAATTTGTTTTCATCAATGAAAATATATTTGTTTGCCTAAATTCTCAAAGGAGAGATAAAATTATTCTCCATCTGTGGGCTGATCTCTGTCTTGCTAAAACACAAACCAGATCACTCTCTTGCAAACTATAACTTCTATCTTCACAACAGCTTCGTTCTTTGCTTAAATTTCCCAATTTGTTTTCATCAATGAAAATATATTTGTTTGCCTAAATTCTCAAAGGAGAGAGATAAAATTATTCTCCATCAGTGGGCTGATCTCTGTCTTGCTAAAACACAAACCAGATCACTCTCTTGGCAACCATAACTTCTATCTTCACAACAGCAGTTCTTTGCTTAAATTTCCCAATTTGTTTTCATCAATGAAAATATATTTGTTTGCCTAAATTCTCAAAGGGAGATAAAATTATTCTCCATCCAGGGGCTGATCTCTGTCTTGCTAAAACACAAACCAGATCACTCTTGGCAACCATAACTTCTATCTTCACAACAGCCGTTCTTTGCTTAAATTTCCCAATTTGTTTTCATCAATGAAAATATATTTGTTTGCCTAAATTCTCAAAGGAGAGATAAAATTATTCTCCATCTGTGGGCTGATCTCTGTCTTGCTAAAACACAAACCAGATCACTCTCTTGGCAACCATAACTTCTATCTTCACAACAGCTTCGTTCTTTGCTTAAATTTCCCAATTTGTTTTCATCAATGAAAATATATTTGTTTGCCTAAATTCTCAAAGGAGAGATAAAATTATTCTCCATTCAGGCTGATCTCTGTCTTGCTAAAACACAAACCAGATCACTCTCTTGGCAAACCATAACTTCTATCTTCACAACAGCTTCGTTCTTTGCTTAAATTTCCCAATTTGTTTTCATCAATGAAAATATATTTGTTTGCCTAAATTCTCAAAGGAGAGATAAAATTATTCTCCATCTGTGGGCTGATCTCTGTCTTGCTAAAACACAAACCAGATCACTCTCTTGGCAACCATAACTTCTATCTTCACAACAGCTTCGTTCTTTTGCTTAAATTTCCCAATTTGTTTTCATCAATGAAAATATATTTGTTTGCCTAAATTCTCAAAGGAGAGATAAAATTATTCTCCATCTGTGGGCTGATCTCTGTCTTGCTAAAACACAAACCAGATCACTCTCTTGGCAACCATAACTTCTATCTTCACAACAGCTTCGTTCTTTGCTTAAATTTCCCAATTTGTTTTCATCAATGAAAATATATTTGTTTGCCTAAATTCTCAAAGGAGAGATAAAATTATTCTCCATTGTGGGCTGATCTCTGTCTTGCTAAAAACACAAACCAGATCACTCTCTTGGCAACCATAACTTCTATCTTCACAACAGCGTTTCTGTTTTGCTTAAATTTCCCAATTTGTTTTCATCAATGAAAATATATTTGTTTGCCTAAATTCTCAAAGGAGAGATAAAATTATTCTCCATCTGTGGGCTGATCTCTGTCTTGCTAAAACACAAACCAGATCACTCTCTTGGCAACCATAACTTCTATCTTCACAACAGCTTCGTTCTTTGCTTAAATTTCCCAATTTGTTTTCATCAATGAAAATATAAGCCGTCTGTCTGTCTGTCTGTCTGTCTCTCCTTTCATTAATGATATTTGTTTGCCTAATTCCTCAAGAAAGTGATAAAGCCATTTCACAAAATCTGTTTTCATCTGCACGTCAGACTCTTGATAGATCAGAAAAATAAACTTTAGGAGAGAAGAAATTCAGATGGTTCTATTTTTTACCAAGGAATATGTCTCCACTCTATCTTTCAGCTTAGCCTTTTTCTGCTCAGAATCAACATTTAACCACCCTTTTCTGCTCAGAATCAACATTTAACCACCCTTTTCTGCTCAGAATCAACATTTAACCACCCTTTTCTGCTCAGAATCAACATTTAACCACCACAGTTTTACATCACTCCCTTTCCCTTTTTGTCATTTACTTGTATATGACATCCAAATCCACCTTCCTTAAGGTGAGAAAAAAAAATCAAATCAACCAAAAATGTTCTTCATACATAATGTTTCTACTAAACATGCAGTTGAATTAAAAAGTCGTTCTTCTTTTCTGGTTCATGATCATGCATTTTCATATTGGGGACTTGCACTGCCCCTTACAAATTAATCATTCAACATGAAACTTGCAATTCCACTTACTTTTGTTTCAATTGATATGTTTTTATCTTTTTCCTAGTTTCTCCTTAGTCAATTTTTCTGTTTCCACAATAGTAAATTTTAATTTTCCTTCGATAGCTGTTGGTATTGTTTCCAGTTTTCTTACTGAATTCAACTTGGATTCTTCTTCCTCTGAATTAAAATCTGCTTTGGTAAAGAATTACTAAATGATGTCTTCCTCTTATTTCCATGCACACTTGTTAACACCCGCGGATTAACTGATTTCATCGTCCATGCTTTTTCAGCCTCCATATTGCCACTGTTATGACAACAACAGCTATTAAAGTGCCTAACATCTCAGACTAATTTATTATGGTGTCTAAATTATCTCTCTAAATTGTATTCTCTTCACCCATTAGTACTCGTTCTGTCTTTCAATTGGTCCAGACTAATTTTCTCTACTGGCTTTAATAAACTTCGGCATCTCCTTTAATATAACTTCAGGGAATTTCTCTGCCACTGCTTCCCATAATTTGGTCCAATTACTCAGACCTGTTTCGATCAAATTCACAAATGAATCTTTTTCTTCATATTTTTTGGTTCAGCTCTTCTCCAAACAGCTGCCTCAATTAATTTTAGATCGTTAGCATGAGCCTTTTTAAATCTTATTCCAGATTATAAACTATACTCACCCTGTCTGTTCCACTATTCCATAATAGGGTTTGCACATCTGGTCCAATTTACCTGTCATCATAATCTCCAACATTTATGGCATTACAATCTCGTACCCTAGTATTCTTTCTTATTACTTTTATGCATGAACACAATAAAAGTAATTCACTGATTGCCACCCTTTTGTGTATAACTCTGTGCTACCTGCACTATGACCATATCTAAACTCAAACCGTTCACTTTTCAATGTATTTAGTATATTTCCCTTTTGTTTTTAAAAATTTTTTCTTCAATTCAAATTATCCCTTTGGCATATTGATTGGCTTCAGACAGGTGTGTGGTGCTTTCCTCTAAAGATCAGGTCTCACCGATACCTTCACTAGACTTGTATGAGCCCTTGTTCAGGTCAACAACAGCACCAATAAGTAAATCTGTCTGTCCTCCATGACATGCCATCCACACCTCCATCCTCTCCAATCAATGTCTTCTGTTATTTCATAGGATAGGTTATTTTAATGAACTCTATACCATTATGCACCCAAGTGGTGTGTACCTTCCCATGATGACATGCTGATACCGAATCCATCCATCCCATCCTCCTTACTTATGTTTCTGTTAACATCTTTAAATATCAATATGACCCTGAACAATTTTCTTCCCTTCAATATGCACTAAAAATTGTTTCTGTGAATGTCTGTCACTTTAAAATTTATGGTCCATTCATCAGAGCCTAGACAATTCACTTCACTTGTAATAAGCCACTATTACCAAGATATGTTCCTGTGATCTTCCTTAATTACCAATTCTTTTGCATGAGACACTACAAGTCATTACTAACTGGTACACCTAGCAATTTATCACCAATTTTCCCCATTAATCAAAACCAATATCTTCATATCTCCCACCAGAAGGATTTCCTGGTTGTCATTTACTATCATTTCTTTTCTTGTGTCTAAAGAAAAAAAACACCTCACATCGTTGCAACTTTACTGGCTAGCATTATTACACCATCTCAACACCCTATGAGCACCCACGAAATTGGCAGCCCAGAATTCTCTGTCAATATTCAGTCTTCACCTAGCAATGGGTAGTCCATGAGTATTATTAATCCAATTATTAAAACAAAAACTGATTTTACCACAGTGACATTAAGCATGAATTTGTCCAACAGTTGGCTGACAGAAAAAACAGTCTATCCCCTCATAACTTTCACAAAATCCCAAGTGACTAAGCACTAAGGTTTCCTTTTTTTCTTTTTTTATATCCATTTATTTTTTATTTTAAATATTGGTATTTGGTGAACTGCACCAAGCCCTTCCATTTACAATTAGCAAATGTAGTTTTTACTTAACTACATCACCTAACCAGTATAAATCAACACAGAATTTTAAGATTTAAATAAATTATTGCAATAAAATTTCAAAGATGAAAACAATTCCTGCAAAAACTCAGTATTCATGAAAAAAAGTTTTTTTTTGTCTATGATCTTATACAACAATCAAAAGCTTTCCTAATTAAATAATGTCTTTGCTTTATTGCAATTCTTTTTTCAATTTTCTCCTTTCTCCCTCTGTATTAATGCCTAACTCTAACTCCTATGAGAATGTTCTCTTATAAGCTTGTCTCTCTCCTCTATCTCTGCTTTTAGCAATTACTACTGGGATTTCTCATCTCATATTGTATAGGCCATCTATCATATTCATTGGAGCATAATTCTTGTTTCTTGGTTCCTTTTTGGGGTCAGGGTAAATTTCTCCCCATCTCCATACATGTGCTGTCTGCACCCATGCTTCAGGGACCACTCTCTTCTATTGGGGTCATTCTCCAGATGCCCCCTCTCATCTTTTCCAGGCCCTTCTCTAGGAGCTTTCTTCTCTTTACTCTGGCTGTCACCTTCCTGATTCCGAACCTAAACTCCCCCTTTTCTTGTCTTCCAAATTTCCTTGCTGTCTTTGACCAGATCTATGGCCACTGACAACCTGGTTGGAGCCACCTTAATTACATTATGTCTGATGCGCTCATTCTCCAGTGCATCAACAAACAAATCTGCCAACTGGGCTTGAATAGCAGCATTTTTTTCTTACTTCCTCAGGGAAGGACAAGGCTGACAATTTCATCGCTCTTTCCTGCCAATTCTTCTGTAGTCTCATCCCTTGCCTGGGGAAGTCTCATGAGGCTTCTCATGGCTTCTATCACTGTCCCCTCATCTGTGTATTAGCAGTTTCTTTTATGTTAAACCAGGGTCTCTTGCTAGGTGAATCCCCCAATCAGAAACCAGCCCTTCAGCTGCATCATACACTAATATCACAACCTCCACTTCAGACAGTTTGTAGATGAGACGTTATTTTCAATCACTGTCAACCAGTTTTTCAACTCCAGTGGGTCCCCTATATATTCTGGTACTCTGGGTCCTCCTAAAAGTTATTAAATAATTGAAGTCTTTTCACGTCATTCTTCTCCACAAACCAATCAGGTCCAACATCAGACACATGCTTGCTCATTCCACCTTATCTAATCAACTGACAAAAAGGGTAAAGACAGATAATCTGACAAAATATGCTTACAAACAAAAAAATACATTTCTATCAGTGGAGTACAAAAAGAAATCAACACAACAGAAAAAATAGAAAGAAACTAAAAAGTGTCCTATCTGTCACTCATCTTATGGTGGCCTCAACTTGATAAAACAGGAAACATGCTCAATTTCATGCTCCCATAATAAATTGTCCTCTATCTACTTTTTTCCTTTTCTTCCTGCTTTGGTTATCGTCTGTATTTATGCTAGAACATTTAGTATCCAAACTCTTCATCCAAAAAGGTGTACAATTGTTAAGATGAAGCTTTCTCTCCTTCTCTCACAGTCTCTCTCTTCCAATCTGATTGCCTCTTTGGATGTGATCAGTTTTTTTTTTGTATAATCTTATGATTTATTCTTTTTTTTTTTTTTTTTTTTTATAATGTTTCAGGAGAGAAGCAACAAAATGTCCAAGCGTCTGCAGATGATGAATACACGTTATCAAGAATTGGAAAAACGGAGACACTTTGAAGTGGAAGGATTTAAGAATGATATAAAGAATTTGAGAAGCAGATTAAAAGATGTAGAAAGACAACTCTATAAGGTAAATCTCTTGCTACAGAAATAAATCTGTATATGTATGTAATGAGAGAGAGAGCATATATATATACACACACACACACAAATGCAATACAATATGATGAGTGGGATTCCCAAAACAATCACAATTAAAACAAATAAAATTCTAAATTTTTCAATTTGAAATTCAACTTCAAAGTACTCTCCCTTTGACTCAATTCATTTGATCCTGTATTTTTTCCTCACTTTTCTAGACTAGTGCAGATTCTGTCCAAGGCCTCTAACATTTTTTGGTTCACATTGTCAACAAAAATGTTACCTTTTCAGATCATGTCTCATATGATTAAATAAAAAAAAAAACCTGTTGAATACTAAAGGCCACGTTAATAGGGGACTTGTCATAATGAAAAATCCAGTCAGCACTATTTCAAAATTTAAGTCATTTTCTCTGCACACACTCATTTGATTTTGTCAACAAAGCACCCCCGCACCTGCTAAAAAGCTATTGATTTACTGTCTTTCCAGGAGGAACAAATTCCTTGTGTACATTTCCATTTGTATCAAAGAAACAAATCAACATGGCCTTGAATTTGGTGTTTTCTATTGTTTTAATGCTTTTCATTAGCAGTTCATATCCATAGCAAAACAATTTTGGAAATAAACTGCAGGTCATTTTGAATTTGTTCTGAAATTGTAACATACATTCAAACAAGTGTTTTGCATTTGATTGAACAGCAAGTATTTTCAAGATTTTGGGCTTTTTCAAAGTTAGCTTTTATTGTATTTGGTCATGAAGTTGACTTTTCACCATATTTGAAACCTTGAAAACGACTGGTAAACTTTTGCTTGACTTAAACATTCTTCCTTTAAAAAGTCCTTTACTTCTACACTGCAAGATGTGCCAGGTAAATGAGAACAAATTATAAAGAAAACAAAGGTATTCAATAGAAAAAAGTGCATACATTTTCAAAAACTTTCTATATGTATTCAATTTAGGAAAAAAAACAAAAAAAAAAAACAAGTTATTCAATCAAGCCCCTCCCCTTTAGCTTTGTTGATGACTTCACAGGTGACTGTATGTCCAAATCAGGTGGTGTTTCTCACATTACTAGCCATAGCAAGAATAGTGGTGTGGATGTTGTGATATGGACACTATTCTTATCATTCTTCCCTGGGCATGTCTTTGATAAGTCGGGGAAATGACCTTCCACAATGACGAGGATATTGCGACCCCAGCATAAAAGAATGTTTGGGATTGCCATGAAATTGTCCCTGGTCATGGTAATCTACAGTATGTAGTCCTCTGTGACTATTCGCGCCTTATTGAAAGATGCTGCAACATCCTCAATCTGCCCGAACTTGGAGACCCCCCCCCCACGCCACCATTGTTTTTCCGTGATATCCATGAGCACCCCATGCAATGTCACTATGGTCCTCCTGGTGCCCATGTACTCTATCTGCAGTCTTACTGATTTTGTTCTCATTACACTGCCTGCTAGCTTCTTTGTTTAATGCCTCCTCCATGTTGTCCCTGCTAACTCCAATAAGCTGCCATGTTGCCAGATTGGTCATCAGCAGAGAAATTGTCTGGGTGGTGACTGTGTCCAGGGACTTGGGGATGGTCAGGAATTTGTTTCCCTTGGCATAGGGTGCATACCTTTCATGGAGTGCCATGTAATTCTCCAGGCTCTTTTTCATTGGCCTACTGGCAGGCCTATGCTGACACTACAGGGGTTACTGATTCTGAATGATGTCAGGGAAACTCTGCCATAATGGAGGGCTTCCCTCACCAACATAGATAAAAAAGAAAAAAGTTCACAATAAACACAAAGATATTCTACAAAAACAAAAGACAACACTGAACAATACGTGGATGAAAGTGAACTTTTGTCTTTATAAGAAAGAAAAATTCCAGTTGCAGAGAATCAATCTTACATGGAATCAATCTCTATTGCGAATGACCAAAATCCCATTTGGAATGACTGCAAACCACTTTTCCCTCCCCAGTTTCTAGGCAGAAACACACAAATACATGCTGGGATTTCTTCCTAGCCAATAAAACAGGTCAGTTCTCAGTTTCATCTGACTCAGTCCCAGTCCCAGTCCGTTTTGTCTTGAAGTCAGGACACAACGTTCGCTTGTCCGAAGTTGCTTTTGTGTGTCAACCCCAATTCTTAGTTTGTGAGCTTTTTGCCATATTACTCTTGTTTTGCCTTATTACTGTTAATTTGCCTTGCATGTATTGTTTGCTTGCTTTATATTATTTTTGCCCTGTTCTTTTTTCTTGTTTATTGCAAACTTTGTCAATTCTGTTTGTTAGGCAGTTCTGCCATTTATTTACATGGCCACTTACTCTATAGATACAAAAAATATTTCTCTTTTTAGTTTGTCTTTTTGGCAGAGAAGAGCTTGTCTACTTATTCATCTAGCCTTTAATTATTTCGTTTTTTTCTGTTATGAGATTAAAAGAACAAAATGAGACATTATAGAATCCAAATATTTTACTCTAAGTAACGCTTGTAAGAAATTTATCCTTTTGTCATTAAATTTTTTTTATTTATCTATTTTAATTTTGTTTCATAATCTTTTTTATTTGACTCCAGGTAACACTGGGCTTAGCAGAAGAAATGGATGAAAAACGACCTGATGATCTGGACTTGAGAATCTTACGAAATGTTCGCCTGTCAACAGGACGTTCTCAGAAAATAATGGGGGAGTTGAAAAATCTCAAATCTAAAGTTTACAGTCTGGAAAATGATTTGAGACAATTATGATCATACACGTAATGTAGACATCATAAAATTATGCTCACCACAACACACACTTTCCAGCAAATAAAAGACTCTTACAATGTACCTTGTTTCTTTTAAGGTTTTAGAAACTTTAAATATGCTGGAGATTTTTTTTTTGTCTGGAATTTACATTCTAATTTATTAAATTGCATTCCACTGTTTAATGACAAATATTTTGTGTGAAAATTCTATATTTTTTAACAGCAAATTTCGATGTGTTTTTTTTTTTGTGTGTCCAAGGCTCATAGCCTTATTTCATTTATCTCCTACCTCCTGAAGTGTACTTAACAATTTTTATACCGAACCATCAAAATATGTACTTACGTATCTAGCTATATGTATTGTTTGTTTTTTGTTATTTTGTCACCGTGTGCCTTCATGTTTAAAAAGAAAAGTGACTTAGCAAGGGAGGTAACTTATATTTACTGAAAAGTTAATTCTTTTCTTTTATAATTAATCTGACTGAAGTCAGGTTTTTAAGACAAACAGCATGTTTTGAGATGGATATTAAAATAATTTTAAAATATAATTACATAACATAAATTTTGGATGAGAAAGCTGTGAAAATATAATCTTGTAAAGTTATTTTTCTCTCCACATCTCAAGTGTGTAACAGTAAATGTCAATGCATTTGTTCCTTATTTGATATGATTCCTTTTCTAAGAATTAGTTTTCTTGAGAAGAGCCCCCCCCCCTTTCCAAATTTGAATTATTTCTTTTTGCTTTGACTATATATCTTGATTTTTAAGAAAAGCATTCTCTTTTACGGTGTTAAAAAAAAAATGAAACAAACCTGCAAAAATTCTATTTTCTCACCTGTTCTATATTTAACTCGCCTTTTGCTACTGCTTCATCCTTTTTTATGTAAATACATTTTTACTTTTCTACGTTTTTTATAAAAAAGAAAAAAAAAAGAACTTACTTGGAAGCTTGCTTGAATTTTTTCTCTTGTTCTTGTGTAACAATTTTCATTGCAAGTATTGGATTTTTTTTTTTCTACTGGTAGGCATGTGAAATGAACTTTTCAAAAGCAAATAATGTTTGCATGACTTTTTTATATGCTTTGTTTTTCCTAAAATTGCCTCTTCCCTCCCCAATGAATTTCGTAATCATAACTTAAACACTGATTAACTCACTCTACCTTGGAGTCAGTTTTATCATGAGGAACATAAGATAGCTTCATTTGTACTATTTAAATTTTGTTTAATGAAAATTATCTTAGCTGAATTTGAATTAGTTTTAAGCTTCTACTTTTGACTCCAGGTTATTTTATTTATTTATTGTAACTTATGTTAGAAATATTTTAGAGTAAATTTGTTGATAGTAATTTCTTTCTTCTTAAAATATTGTATTTAAGTATTTCTTAGGATATTTATTTATTAAATAAATTTTGCATTAGTAGTATTGTTAGGAAAATAATTCTGTAAAACAAATTGTGTTTTGTATGGATTTGGCCATTTATTAAAAAAAAAAAAAAAAAATAAATAAATAAATTTACATTAACTTTGTTTCTTCCACTCTGCTGTCGTAGAACTGGAAAATCTCATTGTTATGTTTTGTTTTTTTTTTTATCTTGTTATAGTAAAAAAAAAAAAAAAAAAATTTTTTAGACAATGTAATTTCCATTCATTAGTTGAATTTATTTTGGCTCAGAATTTTCTTTCGACTTGAATTTTTGAAACAATTTTTCCTCCTTTTCCACTTTTCAATTTCAAGTGGTTTTATTCCATTAACTCTTTCCACCTGCCAACAATATTTTACTCATTTTCATTCTCTCTCTCTCTCTTAGAATCAATTTAACTTTGCTTGCAATTCTTAAACAGATCGATTTTGGGAACTAACCAAAATATTAATGTATATAGACGATTATAAAAAAAAAAAACTATTTTTTTTTTTTTTTTTTATATAAAGTAAATGGTTAGACTTAATCATATATGTTGTACATTTTAATCTTTTCAACTTGTTTCAGTTGATTTAACCTCAATCCCACTTTTACTTTGTCATGGTTGTTAAAAAATCACAAATTAGAATTTGGTGGCTTGAATTTAGCTTAAGACATAAAAAAAAAAAAAAAAACAAACTTGCATCTGCAATAGGTTAGGTGCAAGAATTTTTTTCTTAATGAAACTAATCTTAATAAAGGCTGTTGACTAAAACCAAATTCTAATGTGTTTAGAAAGTTAAATAAAGTTGCCAAATAGTAAAGAGATTCATTTGCCAAAAAAAGAAAAAGTTTACTAAGATATAATCATTTAAATGTTATTTTTTATGGAAAATAAGAAACAATTTCAAATCATTTGCTGCTTTAATATATATTACCTAAATTGCTTTTTAATTAGTTTTCCTATTTGTATTTAATGTCTTGGCTTTAAAAAAAAATAATAGATTCTGTAAATGTTGATTTTGACATTTCACATAATTTTGAGTTAATTTTACATGCTTGCCAAAATAAATACAAAGTTTAAATGCCAGAAATCTAGATCAATGTTATATAAACTGGTTTAAAAGAGTGTAAATAGTCTTCCTTAAATTTTCTATTTTTACTTTCATTTATTTTTAATCCAATTTCGCAGAAAATAATATTTGATTGCATTGGTACCAAATCTGTTGTTAGCTCTCATTCTATTTTCTGTTTTTTTTTTCTGTTCTTTCTATTTTAGGTGCTGTGACAATAATATTTTTAAAAAATATTTTATTTAATATGAATTTTACTTTAATCTGATGTGAATATATTGTAAATCCTGTTCATGCTTAGAATCATAAGTTGTGCTTATAAATTGAATCTCGTGATATCAGGTAAATTTAAATTACTGCCTGTGTATTTAAATCCTTTGAATTTTTTTTTTTTTTTTATTTTGCCAAAGCCTTTTCATTATTTTATTAGTTTTGCTCTCTTCCTAGATCTATATTTTGTCACAATAGCAGCTGAAGAATTGATTCAGAATAATGTAAATAGAAATAAAGAAATAGTTTCTAAAAATACTCGAACTTGGTTGTGGTAAAAAGCAAAAATATAAAGTGAAATTAAAGGAAAACATTAAACTTACTGTATTTGTTGGTTGATAAAACAATTTTCCCTGTCAAAATTACAATGCACTGGCATTACATATATGTGAAGTGTGGAATTATACAATACTGAGGTTGTAATTGGTTTCAATGAGCAAACAAAAACGTCCCTAAAAATATTTTGTAAAACAAGAGTGCATTTTATACATTTTTTTTTTTTTGTCCAGAATATTCCATATTTTCCGTGTTTGGTTCTTTAATCCTGAGGATAGAGGTATTTAATTCAGTTTGAGCTGATGGTTAGCCATCTTGATTTCAAAATTGGATTTGATTAGTCATTATGAATTTCTGACTAGGATTTGTTTATTATGAGTTGCTTTTCATTGCAACTTACTGAGAATGTTGGTCTATTAGAATGAGTTAACAACCTTGATAATAAGAAATCAAGAAAAGCTCTTGACTCAAATTAACAACCCTTATTCCACAAGAACAAAAAAAAAAAAAAGGAATAAAAGAATAATTTTCATTTAATAAAAAGAAAATAGAGATAATCCGTTTTTGTTATTATCCATTGAGTTATTAATTTTTCTTTTTTTTTTTTTTTTTTCATCTCCTCCTCTTTGATTTATCATTACATTTTGACGCATTCCACTGTTAAAATTTATGCAGTCACCTGGTGGTTGAGAGTTCAATTCCTGTTCAGGCAATGAATTAATATACTATGATTCTATGGAAGGAACAGAAGTGACATCAAAAAAGACTATTAAATGAGATGTCCTTAGGCATGGACATTTTGATCCCACCATCCACTAGATTGAATAAAGTTTCATTCAAATTTTTCAAGTTACCAAATAGAGCAGGCACCTAAAGAAAGGCAGAGTGTATAAAATCTGAAATGTTGTGGCAATGAGACGATGAGAAAAGCAGCAAAAACAAATCAATTTCTCATTAGTTATTCAGAGAGAAATCTTTGTATCAATCGAATTAGAAGTAATAATAGCTGTAAAGGAATCATGGGATTTCATAGAAAGCTCTCAATCACCTGCAACAAATAATCTCTTGCTTAATTTTAAAATGTTTTACAACAAATATCAGGTTTAAAGAGAAACAAGAATTACTTTTAGATATCTAAAAATCCAATTATATAAAATGATCTAAATATGTGATAATACACTAAAGATTATATATAAATGTGTGTTTGTATACACCAATAGTCTTGGAAGTGACTATTTTTCCATATCAGTAGATTCAAGTTCCTTGGCATTTTTGTTCACAGTATTGAGGTCACTGGTTCATTTCCTTTTCAGGGTCATCCGATGTAATTGTCCAGGAAACTTCAATCAGGAGAAGTAAGAAACTAAGCCAGCACCTGCTGGACTTGGGTTATGCAAGAAGGAGCAATCTTGCCTCCTCCTTCTCCTAAGTCATCCCCCTTCAGTCCAGGGCTGAAACATAATGTCCAAGACATTGATGTTGGCAATACAGAAAGAAATAGCTTTCTTGACATGACTTACATTGCTGATGACCTCCAGAACCTTCTCAGATGATGTGAATTTGGTGTGTGTTTGCCTCTCCTGGTTTAGATCAAAATGATTCTCATCAGAATACTTGAGCATGTCCAGCAAATGCTTTGATCAAATTATTTGCACCCCTCCTCTCCACATGAAGCTTGTCCCTGATATGCTTGTGACTCTACCGATTTGCATTGCTCAATGATGTCTCTTGTTGATTTGGTGGGGGTCATGATATTCTAGGCCAGCTGGATTTGGCTATCCTGACAATGTCTGACCATATTTCTTTCTCTTGGCCATGGAAAGGACATCCACACCTCATTCTTAGCCTTGTACACAAAGGATCTGACCACTTTCATGAAGCTATCTTCAAATTGTTGTGGTTGGCAGCTTTTGCCATGAAATTCACGTGAATTTTCATTTCGGATTGTTGGCTGTCGTATTAATGTTCTCAATACGACTGAATGAGAAATGTTAAAATTTGGTGCATGCCACGTAACATTACATTAGGTTATTTTCCACTTATGGCCCAGGAAATGTGCAGTTTCAAATATATGATGCACCTTCTGTTTGTGCATGTATATACATACTCTTTGAAAGCAATTTAAATTT